ACGCATCACTTCGCGATTATTGTATTAGTGAAATTGATATATGAGGTGACATCTTTCGTTAAAAAAAGTTTTAATTCGATTTTTACAGTTTTGATAAAGTTATTCGAGGTTATACATTTTGACAATGTTATTTCTTGATTTGCCGTAAAATTTTTGTTTGGGAAATTAATCTTCTCTACATACGATGCTACTTATTTAACCTCTCTACTATATAAATATAATTTATATACAGTAAATTCTACATTATTTATGAATGAACAAGTGTGGTGTTGTTTAAATTTATTAGTTATATTATACAGTTTGGATTATTATGTAATTCAGTCATAATATTAATTCGTAGCAGCTTAAAACTCGCTAGAAAGAAAGTTTCTGTTTATGAGTACTTAAATCAAAATAGAATGACAACTTATTTTCCTTAAGTATGTAATTTGAAAGTGAAATATTAATATATTAACTGTGTATAAAAGTTTTATTATGAAGTATACCACTGAAAATAACTTAAATTTCAACTGTACAGTATGAATGTCACATAAATTGCTCAATAAGCATTACTGGCAACTGTAGATTTTTAAATATTTTAATGAGAATAGTAGGATCAATTTTAATTTCAAAATTGTCAACTAATTTGAAAATTGTGTAGTTGTGTTAAACTATATTTATCAAAATGTTACTCCTCTTAACTAATATAAAGAATCTAAACACTTCAAAACTCAATACACTTAAAGATAAAGAATATCTACTACAAATCTTGACTGATGCTTTTCAATTAATGTTAATGATTAAAAACGTTGACTTGTTCAGCGATTGTCAAAGAGGATTTCGCGCAATGAAAAACTATGCTTGATGAATGAAAAACATCTATGCCTCGGCACGATGCTATTCCACGAAATCGCTTCTACAATTTTTGAAATTAATATTAAGATTTCAAATTTGATTCACATTATTAGAATGTTGATGAACAATTTAATATTATTAAAAATTTAATTTTCGAAAACTATTAACAGACTTTCAACGATTAAAATTACTCATTTGGTAATTTTCAAGATTATAATTTTTTATTAACAAACAAAAGTACTTATCGATTTCTAGAACTGACTGTTAGAAACTTTATGCTAAAAGAAGTATTTTCATATTTTTTTATTTAATCTATGTATAACTTTCAAAATATGAAAGAGTTCAATTGATGAAACACTTTTTCCGTTACGCGGAGCCTTTTTTAACAACGACTGAACAAGCGAATATCCTTAAAGCAAGCTAAATAATTATCAATTTCAATTCATAAAATTCATTAAATTCGTAACCATTCTTGACAATTTAATTAATATCATTTAATTACTATGAATATCAATTCTATTTAATTTGCTGCAACATTCTTATAATTCTTATAGTACCTACGAGTGCATGGTTGAATATTATTCTAACTTGATATTTCAATAAAACAAACAAATGTGTCTATGGTCTTTGCATATAAAGTGAAACGTTTCATCCTCACACACTCATCTTTTAAGAAAGGTATGAAAATTGCCAGGTGAGTGGACAAACGGAAAAAATATCAATTGTTATATGATAGTGGAGGAAGAGGTTTCGGGTTTTGAGTTTTTATATTACAATTTTTTAAACTTTTTCTAAGGTTTAAATACATGCTTGGATATCATAGACATCTGTCCTGTCATCATTTTCCCTTAATATATACCCATTTTTCCAAAATTTCAAAATGCGATATTTCAGTTAAAAAAAAAGATAATAGACCAAAGACGCTGTTTTTTGCACTTTTAGGCGATGATATCTCGGAAACCAGAGCTAATTGAGATATGTAGTATATAGATATTCGGATTTAACGCACCAAAAACCTTCAAAAATATATATTCTAGTTTTTGGATCAGGTCAACTTAATTTTGTTGGCCTGTGTAATTTTTCCGTTTTAATTCTACATGAGTTTGAATCAATATCTTTGTTTGATGAAAATTTAATTTCATAATGTTCTCTAGGCTATGAAATTATCAATACCTATTCATCTGACTATTTCAATACCTTTCTTGAAAGGTGCGTGTATGTATAATATACTGCATAATATACTAAATACTAAAGAAAATAGTATTAAAGAATAGAGAATATAGTAGTAAAGAAAATAAAAAAGAATATAGAATAGAAAAGAATATAGAAAATAGTAGTAACGAAAATATAAAAAATTCAAAAGTTCTATAAAGAGAAAATATACTAGTTAAGAAAGCGTTCAGAAAATGATAAAATATGTTACATTAATTATTAGAGTGATAAATTTTTTTACTGTTTATCTTGAATATTAATTATATTGCGATTTAAAAAAAGTACATTTAAGAATACCTTACAATGCCTTATGTCAACTAAATTATAATAACTAAATACCGTATAGATGGAAAAAAGTTTTTATTTGACGCACAAGTCTTGCTATCTCTGTATCAATTTAGCATTTATATAGAAGTAATTTATACAAACAGTTTTATGGAATAAATTTGAAATTTTTATACAAAAATACTTTTAAACAAAATAACAACCACATTGGAAAATCGAAAATAGGACAACATAAAACATTCAACAATGAAGGAAACGATACCTCAAACATTAAAACAGTACGTAAAATAAAGCGTGTGTATGCGTGTGTGTGTTTGTGGTTTAGCCAAATTTTCAAACTGAGTGCAGATTTTCATTGAACCTTTTTCGTATTCTATATATAGTATTAGAATTAATTATACGAAAATACGCATACGCCGCACGAAATGGCGTTGTAAAACTTGTTTTGTCCTTATAAGTCTTGAAATTGCTCAACAAAGTGCATAATTTTTCATGGATTTCTGACTTTAATAACAAAATGAAAAATGGTAACATTAATCAAAGTTCAAATTCTACAATTCAAAATATGCCGAAAATTGTATATTTATTTTTACTAGAAATATCTAACTCTGTAAATTATACCACTAAATAAAAGACTGGTTACCGGTGAAATTGTAAAATTGATTCCATTATGAAAAAATTATGTTTTATAAGCTCACCATGGATGGAATTTTGAAACAAAGAATAAACTTTGTTATGGTTTTTAATTCTAATGTATTTTAACATGTAAAATGATAAACAAAATATGACTAACGCTATTATTTTCAGTTTTATATTGAATTATAAAAAACTACATTATCGTGCCTACATTTTATTCTCTATAAAATGTATGTGTATGTATGTGTCCGTATATGTGTATGCATGCACACGCATGTGTGTAACTAATTCCATACAAAGTATGTATTAATTCGGCCCATTATTTTTTGGAGTATTTAAAAGCACTATCACAATATTTTAAGATTATGCAATTCTAATTTGCCGGGTTTTATTATTCGATATAGTATTTTTCATTCGAAATAATTTCTCATTCTCATTCATCGTGGATGCTTTGATGTAAGTAAATTTATTCCGATTAGAAAATTTATTTGAATTAAGAATGAATCGAAGGAATTATTAAAAATTTAGGGTTTATTGATCATCAAGGTATGTTCCGACAATGAAATTAAGTTTTAATCATGTTTCAAAATTGTTTTAAATAATAGATAACTTTGTGTTTAATTAAGTCGTATATTGCTGATGATGTTGAAGATTCTTCTAAATAAGATAAATAAAGTAATTTGCAAAAAATTAATTAACAATAAGATGTGAGTATTCAAAACTAGAAAAGATCCGTTGATGATTTCGAAATACAAGTGAAATGAAAACATTTAAAAATCAATGCTAAATTTTTGTTCTTGAGTATAAACGCTACTTGAAGTATAAACGTTATCGTTTAGTAACTGAAGTAGATGGAAATAAAACAGATTGATGAAATATTATTGATAGGAAGTTAGATTCATTTGTTATATATGTAATTCATACTGAGAAATTCCAATAAATTATACGGTAACGTATAGCAATTTTTACTATCTGTGATACTTTTTGTAGTGTTGTTTCCGTAATTGTTTTGGTGCAATCTCATAATTTTTACCCCAGCACACCAACCGACATGTTAAGTTTGTACTATGCAGAAGGGCTATTTCACACTGTGTTGTTGACAATTTACAGCTGAATTCACAAATCCTAATCTTGAAAATTCATTTTTACAAACTTACGTTAATAATTATTTTCGCCATTTTTTATCACGATTTCTCATATAAAGCTCTATTCTACAATTAAGAAATATGTATTTTAATTGCATTTAGCTTATTATGATGAGTTTGATTATGAACTATAAATATATTAGAAAATTTTACGTAGATGACTCCGGAACTTTTTCTACATTGTCAAAATTGTTCTAGCATGTCTACTTTTTACAGGCTTGTTAATCTCGTCCATGGATTGTGATGCGTCACCGTAATTATTTTTACTTTACTAGAATTTGAACAATGCGCCTCGCGCGCTCTTATCTACATTTTTGTTCTCCATAATCAAGTTAATAAAATTAAACTCGATTAATAATTAATGATTAATTGTTTAATTAATGTTATGAAATATTTTATCAGCGAAAGAAATTTTACGTTTGTAAAACAGTTAATAAATAAAATTTTTTAAATTTAATAATCATTAAATTAACTATTTATAAACATAATTTTTAACACTTGCATTTTCTCTTTGATGATCACTAAGATTAATTATGAGGGAATCTCAAGATCGAATAGGATCGAATCTGAAACAGCTACATAAAGCTGTTCGTGATTAAAAACATTTCTTCGTAAATCTATACCAATTTTATCAAAGTTTGACCTTGCACTTTAGTTACTGTATTTGCAAAGACTAATTTAACTAGAAACTATCTCTGGAATAAAAAAGATTATACATCTTCACAATATAAAGTTATACGAAAAAGATGCGTCAATTCCACTTCTTAGAAGCGAACACTTCTGACTTATAGTTAGTTTTCAAGACTTTTGTCAGAGATTATAAATGATGCAGAAGGATCAATAGCCTCTCAATTTTCTGCTTTCTAACAATAATCAGAGTGGACGAAATAGCATTTTTCTCAAAACATATTATTAAAAAAATTAATTTTTAAAATAAAATATAATTTACGTACATACAAACATTTTGAATAAAAATATTAAAAAGATTTTATATATTTATATTTAAGTGAAAACGGAAACTAGTATAATTTTGAATACACGTTTTTAAATTAGATTAAGTTAGATTAGGTTAGATTCAAATAGAAACATGCACACTGCATCAGCTAATCGGATAGCGTTTATCTTCGCTTGTCAACATCCGGTCATGACTTTTTTATAAAGAGAATTGTCTTTGTAATTAGGCAAATATTTTCTCGTAGTGCAAAGACTTAATCTAAATTACTTGTAAAGAATTTAGGTCATAAAAAATTAAGTTAAAGAAAAAGTTAATTATAATCAATCACAGATCGAGAAAAAATTGGATTTGGATAGAAATATAAGAGCAAATATATTCAGAAAATCAACTAAATCAATGAAAATAGTACATTTTGTTACTAGTGCAAGAAAGTTATTTCAGTCTTGTGTGAACGTTTGTGCCCGAGTAAAGTAAGGGTAATGAGGCTACATGAGGCTGAAATCACTTTCTTGTACACATATCTCACTTTATTTTTCGATACAACGTATGTGGGACAAGATTTTGAGCATGCTCGATTTCTCGAGTGTGCGTAAAGTCGAATGCCCACGCTTAGAGTGTCAAGAAGGAAATTATAGCTTTTATATTATATAGTTCCTAGTTTCTTATCTTAATATATATTATTTTGCAATACAAAGTATGTCGGAATCTAGGACTTACAGATTTTGAATTCAAATTGCAATAATTAATAATTAGTTATCTAAAATAATTTTTGTTGTCTAGTTTCATTACGATGATTGTCATTTAGTTACACAAAACGCTATTCGAGCCATTTCGCCATAACTTATGAATGTGTTCATGCATTTTGCCACTTTTCTTACCTGGTTTATTTTAATTTGGTTCTATTTCTTAACAAAAAAATGAATAAATATATGCTACGAATTATTCAATTTTACTACTTAATCGAAAAAAAAATTAGTTCTAGGATAAGTTAGATCCAAATTTAGAAATATTGCTGTGTTATTATTATTATTATTATTGTTATTATTATTATTATTATTATTATTATTGGGTTATATTGTAAAAACCTGTTTTTTTGAAAAAAATAGAAAAAGGCATAAGCTTGTAGCTTAATTTTAGCATAAACGGTTGCGTACAATCGATGCATAAATATTTTGTTCGGAACCAGTTACAGTTTTTTCTGATCGATACACTAAATATTTCTTTTGTTTCATAAATAGAATTTTCTTGTTCTATTTGCATATTATGTTTTTTTAAATACTATTTAATAATATGGCACCGATAAAAAGTTAGAACGTAAGAACACATAGGAATATCAAAATGTAAGATACGATCTTATGAGAAGTTATATAGTATGTATAAAAGCCTCACGAAGAAAAAAATTTAGTAATTTCACTACGTAACCTGTTACGTATCTTATTTAGTGAAGAATATCAGAACCGTTTCTCAGTTGTTACTGAATAGGCTCTTCTTTGGGATTTATGAAGTGGCATGAGTTAATATATTTTTTATATTGAATATACTAGCAAATCAAGTCTTCTATTAAACTGAAATAACTTTCAAGATATTTGATCTATTTCGATTCATGTGTTATAAATAACCTGTTATAATTCAAGTCCTAATAATCTTTCTATTAAAAATTAGATACAATGATTTGCTTGAAAGTTAAATTGATAATTCAAATAGAAAAGTGAAAATATAAATTATTATTAACGTTTGAAAATAAATTTTAGAATTTGAAATTGAAATTTTTTACTAAATTGAACGATTTGATCCAGCTATCTATTAGCATATTTAAACCATACTACATTGATTAATTACAATTATCCCAGTTTAAAGAAAGAATCCACTGTTTAATGAATATTCAATATATACCATGTATTTAGCCCCGTAAAGTCTGCACTACAGTCTATATAGCAAAATACCGATACATACAAAGTGTTAGTAGAAACCCACGTGCATGAAATTCCTTGTAATTTACATATGTTACCAACTGAAACTGATCATTTCTAACTAGCATTCGTTCTTATAATATATTCTTAATGATTTTTTATAAATGAAAGTTCATATTTTTTTATAAATTGAATTCTAATGATCAGGAAGTACTTTAAAAAGCATGTATTTTATTATATATCAATGTTCTATGATGAAATGTTTGGCATGCAAAGCGTCCATGAGTTTCCAATACTAACGTATACAATCATATTCAAGCTTTTGATGCTATTTCATTTGAATTTGATAGAAATGAAAAGAAAATATAATCAACGCCATCTGCATATTATACTGACATATGTATGCCTGTGTGTAGGCGTGCGCGCGTGTGTGCGTGGTTGAGTGTATGCGTGCATGCACGTCTTTTATGATAATTATACTAAAGTATAGAGTAAATAAAATTATATTTAAATCGAAAGACGTATCTTATTATTTCTATCACGAATACCGTGTACCAAATTTTAATTATCATAATAATCTTTGTGTTCCTCTTTTGAGTCAAAATCAAAATGAAAGGTATCCAGTACCAACTCTTCTAAAAAAGTAAGAATTTATTGCATCCTCCGATAATATGCATAAAACAAAAATAACTATTGTTTTTTCATTTACTTGTAAATTATGTTTGATTGAAAATTTCATTTGAAGATACAGGTCATCAGATTTTGAATGATATATATAACAGTTTCACTTGATTCTTTTAAACTGCAATAATCACTTAAAGCCAGTGAGTATTATTTGACTCGAATGATTCGAATATAGTAAAACATCTTATCATTATAAATAAAATATTATTTTGAGTACTATTAATTGTTAAGATATTTGTTAAACTTATGATCACTAGTAAATTATTCATCATACGCTATATAAGATAATTCGATCCGGTTTTTGTTATTATTATACACAGTCGGTATAAGAGATCTCTGATGGTATTTTAATACTTGCTTTCTAATCCTAACAAGCATTTATTTTCATTGATAATCTAAAGTTCTCTGGCTTGATCTCAGTGTAGATCAAAATTGTTTCAAGTCTTTTTATTTTCAAGTTCATTCAAATTTTGACGGAATAACTAAGTTATTATGAAATATTAAATTTGTTAAATCTTACAAATACCTTAACTGAGAAGTTAATAAATACTGGAATATTTGAATCAACATTAAAAAAATCTTTTTTTTATTAAATTTCTACTGGTATTAATCGTTCTACTTTTAGCCATTTTGTAAAAAATACTTAAATAAATATTTAATTTTACGTAATTATGAATAACTTCTCACTTGAAGGATTACAACGGTTTCACTCAAAGCTCAGTAGATCCTAATTCAGTGGGTATTCGTTAGAAATTCCACTCACTTTGAGTGAATTATTACTTGAAATAAAATAAATTATATACATAGTGAATAACATGGTCATTCTACTTAAGTTCGATTTTCGATAAACATCACAAGAGTTGCCTATTTTTTAAATATACTTCAATAAATTTAGTGAAGTTATTAGTCGATTAACGATGATCATAAGACTGGGTGAACTAATCGACTCATTTAAAATGGCAAGACTATGTTTTAACTGCATGATTATATGTAGCGTAGTTCAAGGGCAAATTAAACGAGGAAACCTTGTGAACTCGCTGACAACTGGGTCCTTAGGATGGTTACACTATTCATAATTTTCTTTTGGTGGCCGACAAGGGTGATTCCTAGTGCGGTGAGTTCTTGAACCGTTAGTCTTGCTGCTGCCTCTAAAGTTGTAAACCCTGCACGCTCAAAATTTCCTGCATAGCGAGACATCTTTATTGAAATCAGCCACTCTTCTACCGATGTAAGTTGTGTTAGATCAACTGCATCTGGCGCCAATGGATTCGTGCTCCTGTCAATTATATAATTATTATTGCATTTGACATTACAATCTTACATTATATTTTATTATTATTAATATACTAACTTAATCTTAGATATTCTTAGTTAGCTATTATTATTAAGTATGTCGCTAGTATGGTAAAGCATTTTTATGAATAACAAAGATAAATTGTAAAAAGGTACTAAAAATCAAGTAAATCAAGTAAATCATTGAATTTGCTTTTATTTTTATATTGAGACGCTGAGTTATATCAGTAGAGCTGACAAGAAAGGAGACGGGGAGAGCAACACGCAGAAAAGTGGGGAGAGGGAGCGAGGCGAGAAAGACGGAATGAGTCGCTTTGCACTCGATACAAGTGAATCTCCCAGTCCCATTAGGCCAAGCAATAGGGATTTTTTTGTGACATAATTCTGGACAGGTAACCAACAGTGCTATCGTATAGAGTATGTCCCTCTCTACAATTTGACATACTTTTAAACTCTCAAATATTGTTCCGGAATTTGTTATTAACAATTTTAAGCAAAAAATCGCACTTTTTTGGTTTTTTCATTATAACTTTGTAAATAATGTAGCGATTGCAATAGTGTCAATGTAAAAGTTGTAGGTAATTGAATAATGAATAAAATAAGCTTTCGCGTGACTTTGTAACATCATTACAAGCCGATAAAACTCGGGAATCTCGGGAAATTTCGGACTTGTAAAAAAAATTCAAAACAATAGTAGCTGGATATATTCGCTTTAAGTGAGCGAATTCCTGATTCTGTGCAACAGTTAGTTTTTACACAATCAGCGTTTAAACAAATTTATGCGAAATTTTTCGACGCTTCCCCAATCAAAATGGCAAGTTTAATTTCAATTGAAAAACAGTTTCGAAAAGTAGATGTTTTCCATTTTAAAATGTATATTCTGGTTATGGAAAGAAAATATGAAAAATAGACCAGAAATGACACTTTCAGCTGAGCGCACTGAAATAGTCGAGTGGTGGGGCTAGCAGTGACAGAGGAGATATGCATATATACAGGGTGTCCCACTTTAACTTGGACAGTAGGATCACTCAAAACTTTACAAAAAATTCGAAAAATGTTGTAAGTTTCAAAGGGAGTAAACTCAGGATGACCTCAAGCTTACCTTGAACTTTATTTTCAAGGTCATTTCAAGATCAACTTTGTTTTTTAAATAGGAATCCTTATGTTTGACTCTGAATTCGGATAGAGCGAGAGTTTCTATCTTCATATAACCTATTATGCGTGAAGTCCGAGAGACCTTTCAAGGTCAACTTTGTTTTTAAATAGGAACCACTATTTTTGACCACGGATTCGTATAAAGCGGGAAAATTTACCTTCTTATGACCTATTAAGCGTGGGGTCCGGAAGACCCTTCAAGGTCATTTTAAGGTCAACTTTGTTTTTTGAGCTTGCATACTGCGATAAAAGTAATTTCTTCTACATCCCCCAAGCGTATGTTGGGCGGTTCGCTGGTTCGCTATGACTTAAGTAGCCAAGTGGCCTGACTCATAACTGGCTGCTTACCTATAATTCATATAGCGTGAAAGCCGCGGTTACCACTGTCCAAGTTGAAAAGTGCAGTGGAAAAGGGGATCGTCAGATACAGGTGTCACGTGGGAGTTTCTTATAATATCCATAACTTGAGAAGTTATATTCAAGAAGAGTAAAGGATATTTTCTTCAACAATTAAAAAATTTTTCACTCGCGAATGATTTAGAAAAATAATTTTTCGATCCTAGAGTTCTCTGTGTATTAGAGGACCTTGTGAGTTTAGTATCTGCAAGACACATCAACCGATCGCCTGCTTAATTACTCAAGAGTTTTGTGTTAGGTGTCCCAATTTGAGGTAGCTCCAGGATAAGTATGTTTTATTGATTATTATTGACACAGAATTACTAATAATCAATTTATCTTATGAAATACTTTTGTATGTATGTATGCAGAATGGCTAACTATACTTCCAATGAAGTAGTTGACGATAGGTGAATGCAATAGGAATTACAAACTTACTGTTCTGACCTACCCCGAAAGAAGTGATAAACATTGAAAGAAAATCACGGAATAATTCACTGCATCGTCAAAAACAAAGGAATAGATTCAAAAATAATAACGATCCGAGGTTATTTACAATTCTAGTATTGGTTAGATAGTATTGGTTAGTATTCGTTAGATCGAAAGGCAAATAGGAACCCCCAGAATTACAGCTCATAGATTATTAAAATCTGTAAGATACCATCCTTATCACATTAATCTGGTACAGAAATTAAGCCCAGAAGATCATGTACTCAAGGTACAATTTTGTAGATGGGCTCTTGACATATTGATTGAAAACCCCAATTTCATTGGAATATTGGTTTCAGTGATGAACAGTAACGGGAGGATGAATAGGTATTACAGTCATTATTGGTCACCAGTAAATCCACATTAGTATCGTGAGGTGCTCAATCAACATCGTTAGCATATACCAACTCATACATGTAAGTTCCAATATGGTCAAGTGATTGGGCTTCACTTTTTTAAACGGACTATTGATGGTCCAATGTACTTTGCATTTCTCCAGAATAATTTACCAAGATACCTTGAGAATATTCCACTTGTATTTAGATTGAATTTATGGCTTCAACAAGATGGTGCTCCTGCTTACTATGCTCGTATTGTGCGAGTGTTCTTGAATCAGCAATTTCCAGATCGATGAATAGGGCGCACTCCTAGGTCACCAGCCTGAATCGCGTGGCCTCCTAGGTCATCGGCCTCAATCACGTGGCCTCCTAGGTCACCGGACTTATCCCCTTGATTTCTTTTTGTAGGAATATATGAAAAATGTTGTTTTTAATGAACCTCCAACAACATAATTGGATATGATGGATAGAATTAGAAGAGCTTGTGAAACGATAACTCCTGAAATATTTACAACTATGCAGCAAAACTTTTGCCGGCTATTACAGTTGTGTTTGGAGAATAATGGTGGACACTTTGAACATTTAATTCATAATTAAATTTATGCATTTCTACACGGTCTTGCCTTGACTGGCAGGATCTCTACATGATCTTGTCTTACTTAGATGAATCATACATCAATGTACACACACACATGCGCGCGCGCGCGCACACACACATACACATACACACACCCACACACACAAAACGTCCCCTAGGGGCTGTAAGACCTTGTACCTGGTGGGAAGGCTGAAGCGCTGAACTTAAGCAACCAGAACCAGGGATTTTACGCTATCTGAATTACTCATTACTGAGGCAAGCGGCCAATTGTGAGTCTGGCCCCTTAGCTGCTTAGGTTAGAGCAAACCAACAAACAACCGAACACACGCTTCAGTGATGTAGAAGAAATGACTTTTATCGCAGTATGCAAGCTCAAAAAACAAAGTTGACCTTGAAATAATCTTGAAGGGTCTCTCGGACCCCACGCGTAATAGGCTATATGAAGGTAGAATTTCCCGCTCTATTCGTATCCAGGGTCAAAAATAGGATTTCTTATTAAAAAAACAACGTTGATCTTGAAATGACTGAAAATAAAGTTAAAGGTCAAGTTTGAGATTATGCTGAGTCGACCCCCTTTGAACCATACATTTTTTATTTTGAAACATTTTTCAAATATTTTGCAAAGTTTTAGGTTATCCTACTGTCCAAGTTAAAGTGGGACAATCTGTATATACGCAGTAATACATGCGTAACGTATAGCATGCCATTTTTGGATTATCTACGATTATTTTGTAACTGTTTTAGCAATTCTACTTATTTCTCTCTCTCGCTATCTCTCTCTCTTTATCTATCTGTCTATCTGTTTCTCTTCTTCTGCTTTGCTCTTCTCTTTCATCACAGTCAGTCGTATTCAGCTGTGTTCCAACATTTGAACGTAAAGAGAAAGTGAATTGACGCTAACGGTCGTTGTGAATTGTTCAATCGTCGGAGAATTACAAAAAAATCAATATAAAATTGTTCAAGTAATTGCAAGTACACTAATCAAATTGAATAAAAATATACACATGTTGCAAGCGCGACGCATATATGGGCTATTTCGATTGACTTATAACCCTTAGGTTACAGATTTTTTTTAATTTGGCACAATTATTGTACACATGTAAGTGAGATTTTTCCCAAATTTTGATGTCGATATATTAATAATATCAAAAGTTATTAACAATTAAAGAAAAATAATAAAAAATTTTTAAACGGCTATATTTTAAAAGCTAATAAAGATATCGAAGTCGGATTTTTTTTATAATACTTATAATGCCTTAAAATTTCGAAATAATTACAACAATAAACAATAAAAAATTTTTTTTCGAAAGTTATTAACTTTTTGTTTAAACAATTGCTAATATCTCAAAAAGTATTTTTTTTTTTGAAAAATTCTTGCTCCTATGTATTCCTGAGGATTTTTGCTATCGAAATCAATCATAAAATTCAAGGGCCCGACATATCGGAAGGTGTAGCCCTAATTAGAAGAAAACGCCTCAGCGTAAGACCACGAAGATGTCCCGCTGCCGTTGCGACATACACCAAGGCCTCTTTTTTTGATTAGGGCTACTCCTTGCGATATGTCGAGCCCTTGAATTTTATGATTGATTTCGATAGCAAAAATCCTCAGGAATACATAGGAGCAAGAATTTTTCAAAAAAAAAATACTTTTTGAGATATTAGCAATTGTTTAAACAAAATTTAATAACTTTCGAAAAAAATTTTTTATTGTTTATTGTTGTAATTATTTCGAAATTTTAAGGCATTATAAGTATTATAAAAAAATCCAACTTCGATATCTTTATTAGTTTTTAAAATATAGCCGTTTAAAAATTTTTTATCATTTTTCTTTAATTGTTAATAACTTTTGATATAATTAACATATCGACACCAAAATTTGGGAAAAATCTCACTTTCATGTGTACAACAATTATGCTAAATTTAAAAAAATCTGTAACCTAAGGGTTATAAGTCAATCGAAATATCCAAGAATAACCCCACCCATATTACTATATATACGCGTACTCG